TACATTGTTTTTGATCCTAAACAATGAGACTACCTATTTTATTAAATTATGTTTTTATTGATTTAAAGTAAATATGTGTGATAATACTTAATTTGCCCTTTCGCACATAGCCTGATCATTGCCATAACTGCACCAGCCTGGGGTGATGGGGTAGGAAGGCGAGCAGGTGTGGGGATGCCCAGTGCTGTGTGCGGTGCTGCGGTGACGAGCACACTGTAATGAGTCTGATGTGTCAGTCAGTACACACTGTACATCGTACCCTGAGCGTGGTGAGCGTCAGGCCGGTCTCGGTGCTCATGTCCTGCTTCGACTTTCAGAGCAATGGAGAAAGACCCTTTCCATGCAAATTGTCTACCTGTGCATATAGGGACACTTGTGGAGCTGAATAAAGCAAATGGTAAGAATATTCTTAAACAATTTATAAGACCAAAATATTTTCTGTAACTCTTGAAATGGCTCACAAGTTCTGGATAATTGAGATTGCAAGGAACAACATAATGGGTCCTACAGTGAAAGTGACTCTGGGGAAGAAACGGTTATCAAAGTGACCAGTGGCCCAGTGTGTCATCTCAGCAGAGCTCTGTTCTCTCCTCCGTCCTGCTTCCTTTTCCCAAATGGAACTTGTGGCCTGAGGTGTGTTAGGTTCAGTGTGTTGGGGGGCAGTTTTTCCTTTCCTCTCTTTTGCAGTCTGTCAGAAAACTGGTACAGCAGGAGTCAGCAACTGTTTGGAAGCTGGACGGAGGCAGATTTTTTACTTGTGCTTTCCATATTTAACATTTCAAAAACATTGTGTTGTGTTTGGACTAAATTCTCCCTTAAATCTTTTAAACTAAGTTGTGAGCTCTGTCAGGAGAAGGAGAGCCACTGGAATTCCAAGCACCTGCTGCTCAAGGTGTGGTGTATGGGCTGGCGCATCTCGGCTCTTGGAGGCCTGTTGGAGATGCTCCGTCCCCTTGGTCTGGTCACAGCCCAGGTCTGCATACATGTAACTCGAGAAAATTATCTTACCAACTCTGATAAACTCAAGAGTTTGGCCAACCCAACTGGGTGTGCGTGTGGGCATGGTTCATAACAGGCTGGTGGAGTGAGAGAAATGGGTGTTTCAGTGGGTGAGTCTCTTTGAGATGACCCACAGGCTCTGTGCTGTGCCTGGCCACATGCCGCTCACCCAGTTTCCAGTCCCTCAGCAAGAGCTCTGCCCGCTTAGGGGTCTGGTATGGGGTAAGGGGGTTGTGAGTGGGTTGGTGACACAACTGTAGTAACTGCCCCACAGAGATTCTGTATTTCATTAGGCAAATGGATTTTTTTATCTAGAAAGAAAGGAAAGTATGAAATAATTGCTGTGAGAACAAAATTTGTGATCATGAAGAACTGTAACTGGGGGAAAGTTGTATCTTAAAATTCATTTTATAGAATGATTTAATTCTTTTTTTTTCTTTCTCCCTAATGTAGAGCTTTTTTATCTTTCTCATAAGTTGGTGGATTTATATCCTAGTAATCCTGTAAGTAAATATAAATCCTTTTTTTCCCTTGTTGTGTTTTTTTCTCACCTGACTTGAAGAAATGCCTAACACTGTTTAGACAGTAACATATATGTAAGTTCAAGCAAATAATGTTTTGTTTTAAGTTGCTAGAGCAGAATCTCCTAGTGCCTGTGATGACTGGAAAGCAGCGGTAGCTCTTCTGATCCATGAAGGTCTTTTTAAGTTTGCTGAAATAGTAAAACAAAATCCTCTTTTCTGATCATAGAAATTATATATGCTTATTTAAAAATATTTAACATACCAAAAAATAAAATATAAAAGGTGAAAGCCACACTCACCCACCCTCCATAAGTAGCACTAATTCTTGGCGGCTTCCCAGATTGCACAGATAAGGCAACTTACTGAACTGTTCCCTGACTGAATCATTGCATCTCCAAAATTGCTGTAGGTCACGACTAAGACTTAGAAAGAAGTTAAGGTCAGGGTCTAGGTCTTAGACATGAATCTGCCCTTTTAGGCTGGTGTGAAAATGACTTGTAAAGAGGCAAAACCAGTGCAAAGAGAAGTCCGCTAATGGGGTGGAACCAGGGTGAGCCGGGGGGACACACTGCAGGTGGGAAATCAGGACTCAGACTGGTTTTTGACAGCAGGTAGGGTTCAGGAGCCCCATCTTGTCTGGAGTGCTACAGGGACATGATTGAGGGCATCTTGAGGTTGAGCTGAGAAGCATCTGCTCTTCGAGAACCTCAGTCTAGGCCAGAGGTCCGTTACTAGACAGCTGGCCCAGAGAAGTTTCTGATTTTAACTAGACTATGTGGTGGAATGTCTAACCCACTCTCTGGCCTAATTTATTAGAGATGGCCTATTCAAAGTCAAGCACCTTTGGTCATGATAAATTTTGAACATTTTAGGTGTCCTGGTTTGCAGTGGGATGCTACTATCTCATGGTTGGTCATAAAAATGAACATGCCAGAAGATATCTCAGGTATGAATTTATTGCCTTCCTCCCCTGGGGTGAACCTGTAGGAGGTGATTTATTGCTCATCTTCTTTAATACAGTAATTGTTAAGGACTCTGAACACAGTGTGAAAGAATAAATGCCTTCTTTAGCAGCTTCCCTTCAGTTTGCGTCAGTTACGTGCCTCATCTTTATAAGATGTCATGAGGGGAGAGTCCAGTGATCACTGCTGTGCATCTTGTTCCCAAGGAGCTCATAACATACTTGAAGTTTTATTTATAAATAAGAATAAATATGGAACAGTAGAGATTAATAAAAAGTAGTTTGAGAGGTTTTGGTTTTCACTTACGGAAATTCTATTAACCTTTTACTTGAAAGACTTCTTTTGTTAATAGTTTTGAAATTACATGAAATCATACATGAGGTTAGGGTCACTAAAACTGTAAAACGAAATTCTTGGCATAGTAAACTGGCTTATATAAGGATCTCTGGTTTTAGTTGAAGGAACTCCATGCAACTCAGTCAAACTACTTAGCCATTATTATTCATTTATTTAAGAAGAATGTCTAATATGTGAAGAATTAATTACTAAAGATTTAAAGTAATGCCTATGATTTCCTCTGTGTGAACAAAATAGAAAATGGATCTCAGGGAAGTGCATAAACTTTTGACAAGACTTGAATTCTAATCAAGTTCTGATACTTAACTAGCTGTAATTCTTTGGAAAAGATAATTTCTCTGACCCTTTCTTCTGAAAAAAAGGAATAATGTAACACTTAATTCCCAGGATCATTAGGAAAATTGATGACCCAAGAGGATCCTGCACTAGGAAGCAAGAGTGGGGGGCCCTCCAGTCAGCTGGGTGTTGAGCATCTGAGAGACTCTGTGCTTCTCCCAGAGTAGGAAGGTGATTCGTGTCATGATAGTTCTTTTGAGCTTTGCTTCTGTGATGTAGTGCTGGACTCTCCATGAAACTGAGGACGTCTTGGGGAAAGAAAACATAGAACATAAAGTGCTAGGACGTGGGACCCTCACCCTTTATATTGCCCTGTTTGCGGTCTGTGTTCTTCAATCCTTGTGTGGGTCACCAGAGTGTCTGTTGGTTGAAGGCTCAAGACAGTGTGGTCCAGTCTGTTGGAACCTGGGTGATTCTCTTATCGCCATCGGTAGGATGTCACTTAATTTTTCCAGCCTCAGTATACTTTTCTTCAAAATACAAATAACCCATCTTGCACCTTATTAGGACTAGATGATGCATATTAGGCATCTCAGAGGGTGCCAGGCACAAAACAGGCTCCCAGCACATGGTTCTGCTACCATGATTTATCTACTAGATTGTGAAATAAAGCTCTTGGGAGTAAGTAATATATGTAAATTCTACACAGAATGCTAACTATAGTACCTAAAAAGTGGACCTCTCCTAAGGTTTCTTAAAAATTTGCCTGTGCTATTTATTAATCATTCTTTTATTTTAAATAAATTAATGCAAAGGTTGACAGCTCATTTATTTAATTATAATGACCTGGAAGCCATCAGCTTCTATAAAATTAGCCAGCAGCTCAAGAATTAATACTGTGTCGTTGGGTGAAACTTCTCGTTTCAGCAAAGCTACCACGCTGGAGAAGACCTACGGGCCTGCGTGGATAGCCTACGGGCACTCCTTTGCAGTGGAGAGTGAACATGACCAAGCCATGGCTGCCTACTTCACAGCGGCCCAGCTGATGAAAGGGTAGGGCGGGGCGGGCTCCACTCCAGAGGGGCTTGTTCTCCTAACAAGGAGAGTTTTGATGTTTCTGTCACTGCCCTGTGGTTGCTAAGCAACAAGAATGCCTTCTGTGCATCTTGTTAGTAGTTTATGACTGTGAAATATCAGTGGGAATTGAGGGAGGAAGCAGGTGGTATGATTTTTGCTTTAAGGAAAGGCTGCTGGGTAGTTAGGCGAGGGGAGAGATGAGAGGGAAGCGCGTTTTCATGGGCTTA